TTTTAGTGTTATTTTAAACCGAAGTTGTGATCGTTAGGACAGACATTTCGTTAACAAGTATTTATTTACCAAACACCTTTCTTCATGGTTTAAATAAATTAATGAATAAATTAAAAACATGATCAAATATTTGCCTTTGTTGAACTTACAGCTTTGTGAGGACATAAGACAACAACAAAACAATACTAAGCCTTAAACTGAGGGTGTAACCAGGATCCACTGTGTAAGGCCAAATCCTTGCAGCAAATATAAACAGAGCATCTAATGGTTCTGCTTCCCTGTATTGTGCAGGTTTCCATAGGTGTCCCAACCTGAAGCTCCAGGCAAGGATCAAGTGATAGGCTCACAGGGAGAGATTGTCAGGCTGTGCCTGAGTAGGTATTAGACAGGTAGCAGTAGCAGTGGTTGAAGTAAGAGGTGAGGCTGAAAGGATATTTTAATTTACTTTTTAAAAATTTAACTTTATTAGTGATTGAACTCAGGGGTGCTCAGCACTGAGATGCCCAAGTCGTTTTTATTTTTTATTTTAAGACGGATTCTTGCTCAGTTTCCAAGGGTAGCTTTGAACTTGTGATCCTCCTGCCTCAGCCTCCTAAATTTCTGGGATTACAGGCATGCACCACCACATCTGATGGCCGAAAGGCTTTAAGTGGTGACCAAATAGGTGTCTGATACGACGTACAGTAATATGAACATGTGTAGGACACTTAGGAAATTCAACTGAGGTAGAAGTTATCAAGATTCATGGTTTTCCATCTCTGCAGAACAGTGTCTTCAAACGAAAATCACATTTGCTTCATTAATTGTAACATTTATTTTGTATTATTGAAGCTTGCCTCTTGCCTTAATCTTGTATTATTTCAAGTTTCAATTGAATAACCATATTTGGGTAAGACCTGTTTTTGTTGCTGTAAAAACTGCAGTACATTGAGATGAAGTTGGAGTGTAAATGTTCTTAGTTCAATAGTGTGAAACACCAAGTCTACAGAACAAACACTACAGGGTCTTTTAAGGTTTCTAAAAACACAATGTCTTTTTTGGCAGGGAGGGGAGTGAGGTAGACAGGTTAACAATACTTCTCTCACAAATGCAGGGCTTAATATTTATGTTAAAACACTTAACATCTCTCTTTTTCTTTCTTATCTTTAGCACCAGGAGGAGATTTCTACAGCTATAACAAAATAGTGACAAAAAAATAATGTGGAGTGAGCTTAGTACACATTCACAGTATGTCTGCAATATTAGCAAAATTCTTACATTTTGCCTGAAGATAAATATTTATGATGTAAATTAGCATCTATTGTAACCTCAGGGAGCTCCCTTGGTTTGTATGAGGACTCATCAAGATGTCAGTCTGGAATTGAAGAAGATCTCAGGAAATGGAAAGATCTCCCGTGTTCTTGGATAGGCAGAATTAATATTGTCAAAATGGCCATACTACCAAAAATGTTATATAGATTTAATACAATTCCTATTAAAATTCCTCTGATGGTCTTTATAGAAATAGAAAAAGCAGTCATGACATTCATTGGGAATAAAAAAGAGGCCCAGGAGAGCCAAAGCCATCCTTAGTGAGAAAAGTGAAGCAGGAGGCATTACAATACCAGACCTTAAATAATACCACAGAGCTACAGTAACAAAAATGGCATGGTATTGGCACCAACACACACACATGAAGACCAATGGAACAGAAGAGAAGACATGAGATAAACCCACATAAATACAGTTATCTCATACTAGACACAAAGGCACCATGCCACCCCTGCCTAGCGCAGGCGGTTGAACTAAAATCACTCGTGTCAATTTGGGGTGACGCAAAATAAAACGCAGACACAAAATACCTTTACGGAAGCTTCAGGATGGCTTTCCCCAGCTCCCAGCCTCAAGTTTCCCAAAAAGGAGAGCAAGAGAAAGTCACTAGAAGCTGGCAAGAGAGAGGGCAAGCACGTTTGGAAGTGGGCTTTTATTTAGGGGGACACTGTTTCTTAGAAAATTCTATCCAAAAAAGGCAGAAGGGGGAGGATTACAAGGGAATAGGTGAGTGTAACTCAGACACATCAGGTATGCCTACACCTGGAGTCACACCTTGCTATCCAAGCTGGGACAACGCCCAAGTCACTGCGAAATGTAGTGATTGGTCAGAGCCCCCTGCATCGGGACTTAAAGGTATGTTCATTCAGGGAGGCTGCCCACAGCACCATAAACATGCATTGAAAAAAAAAAAATGGATAGCCTCTTCAACAAATAGTGCTGGGAAAACTGGAAATCTATATGTAGTCCAATGAAATTGAACCCCTTTCACTCTACACAAAACTCAACTCAAAGTGGAACCAGGACCTAGGCATTAGACCAGAGACCCTGAACTTACTAGAAGTAAAAGTAGGTCCAACTCTCCATTGTGTCAGCTTAGGAACCAACTTCTGCAATAAGACTCCTAAAGCGCAAGAAGTAAAATCAAGAGTGAATAAATGGGATGGTATCAAACTACAAAGCTTCTTCACAGCAAAGGAAACAATCAAGAATGTGAAGAGAGACCCTACGGAATGGGAGAAAATCTTTACCACCCACACCTCAGATAGAGCCCTAATCTCCAGGTTACACAAACAACTCAAAAAACACTAAAAAATACAAATAACCCAATCAATAAATGAATAAATTCACAGAAGAAATATGATCAGTCAAAAAATACGTGAAAAAATGTTCAATATCTCTAGCCATTGGAGAAATGCAAATTAAAACTATACCAAGATTCCAATTCATTCCAATCAGAATGGCAATTATCAAGAATACAAGGAACAATACTTGTTGGTGGGGATGTGGGGAGAAAGGTACTCTCATACATTGCCAATGGGACTGCAAATTGGTGCAAATGCTCTAGAAAGCAACGTGGAGATTCCTCAGAAAACTTGGAATGGAAACACCATTTGACACAGTTATTCTACTCCTTGGTTTATACCCAAAGGACTTAAAATCAGCATATTACAGTAGCATGGCCACATTATGTTTATAGCAGCATAATTCACAGTAGCTAAACTTTGGGACCAACCTAGTTGCCCTTCTACAGATAAATAGATAAAGAAAATTATTATTAAATTACTATAAAGAAAATTATTATTACTCAGCCATAAAGAAGAAGGAAATTATGACATTTGTTGGTAAATGGATGTAAATGGAGATTATCATTAAAAGTGAAATACTCCAATCCCCAAAAAACAAATGCTGAGGACTGGGTTGTAGAGTGCTCACCTAGCACACGTGAGGCACTGGGTTTGATCATTAGCACCACATAAAAATGAAATAAAGATACTGTATGTCCACCTACAACTAAAAAATAAATATTAAAAAAAAATGCTGGATGTTATCTCCATTATGTGGATGCTAACCCACAACAAGGGAGGGTGGGGAGGGAAAGAATAGAAGTCCATTGGATTAGACAAAGGAGAATGAAGGGAAGGGAGTGGGAGGGGATAGGAAGGACAGTAGAATTAATCAGACATAACTTTTCTAGCCTTGTATTTGAATACACAACCAGGTTACTTCACATTCTGTACAACCACAAGAATAGGATCTTAATTAGAATAAGTTATACTCCACGTATGTATAATATGCCAAATATTAGATATACTTTCATGTATATCTAAAAAGAACAAATAAAATAAAAAATTCAAAAATAATATAAAATTTTAGAAAATAACTCACCTAAAGTATTTTTTAAAGAGAGAGAGAGAGAGAGAATTTTAATATTTATTTTATTTAGTTTTCGGCAGACACAGCATCTTTGTTTGTATGTAGTGCTGAGGATCGAACCCGGGCTACACGCATGCCAGGCGAGCACGCTACCACTTGAACCACATCCCCAGCCCCACCTAAAGTATTTTTAAAAAATTTTTTTTAGTTGCCAGTAGATCTTTTTAAATTTAATTTATTTATTTGTATACAGAGCTAAGGATTGAGCTCAGGGCCTCACACATGCTAAGCAAGCACTCTACCACTGAGCCACAACCCCAGCCTCTAACATATCTTAAAAAAAAAAATAAATTGTCAGTCACCAGGAAGCAAACCCTCAATAAGCCTAAGTCTGCTGGCACTTTGATCTTGAACTACCTCAACTCCAGTATTGTCAAGAATAAATGTTTATTGTTTAAGACATCCAGTCAATGGTGTTTTTGTTATAGCATTCTGAATAGACAAACACAGTTTATTGGATAAATAAACTTTCTGGGTAAGATAAATAAACTCTTTGGATAAGTAAACTCTCTGGTTCTCAGCATGTTAATATACATATGTAATAAATGGCTGGAGACATAGTTCAATGGTAGAGTACTTGTCTAGCATGCATGAATCCCCAGATTCAATCCCCAGCACAACAAACACACAATTTGTATTGGTTAAATAAATTATCTTTCAACCAAAAATTCTATTATGCTTTCATTTTGCAATCAGTAAAAAAAGCCTAGAAAATACTAGGAAATAAAACATTATATCAATTATTATTGTTATTCAATTTTAAACTCTTTGGTATTGAAAGTTTGATTTAATAGCAGTTTATGTGTTAAGTTTATGGAAGAAAATCTTTACCACCTGCATCTGCACCTCACTTGGACTTGTGATCCTCTTGGCTTAGCCTCCTGAGTTGCTAGGATTGTAGGCATGCACCACCCATGTCTGATATTTATTCTCATTACAGAGGAAAAACTAACACCCAAATGCTCATACTACAGGACCTGTTTTCTTTAGATTTTTATCACTTAAAAACATCAGAGAAAATTCCTTTTAGTGTTATCTAAAGGAAATTAAACAATTCACTTTTAACAGAAATACATCAGCTCAGTGAAAGTCCTACACACACACTCCCCTTGAAGAGTATCTTGAAAGAAAGATCAAAACCCTTTTTAAAAGTCCTTATAGCATCAAAAATTCCCATTTTCCTTGGGAAGTTCCCCTGATTCATAAAATACAAAAAGTCTAAGGATTCAGACCTGATGAAAACCGAAGGAAAGTACATTAACAGTTGTGTTTATCAATATTTTAGAAGAACAAAGCTTAAAATCATAGCTGGTCAGTTGAGCCGGATGTGACACATTCTGAGACGATTTCTCTGCCCTGATTCCTATCGGGCATAAAAATAAATCTAACCAGTGACCAGGAAGAGCTGTACTAGGCCACCTAAAAATGAAAGTCAATCCAACTTCTGAAAACAATGAATCAGAAGAATGAAAAATAGAGCAGGTCTGAGGACAAGGGAAAGGAACTTTTAAATTCTAGGAACAAGAAAAAGGAATCTGCCTTGCAAGCTGCTGGGGTTTGCTTTCCCCACCAGCAGCAATGCCATTCGCCATTCACAGAACCTTCTATCTCTCAGTGTTGCTCCGGGTGCTGTAGAGTCCCTGGCTGCCAGGTACCTCCGCTGGAAGCTAAGTGCATCCACTTAAGCAGGTCAGGCATGTCTGAAGAGATTTGGGCAAATCTATTCTCCTGAAGATGCTGAGGAGATCCTCCTGGAAAATAACTCCCCTAAGAAAAGAAAGAGGCCGACACCATGCACTTAACCCAGTACAGAAGCCGTAGTCATCGAGAGGGAGATGTTGAGTTTATTCAGTCCTCCGTACTTCCTTGCCATTTGGGTTTATCCCCCGTCCATGGATCTGGGTGGGGAGGGGAGAGAGCAAGCAGGGCGAGAAAGTGGGCACCTTAGTACTTTTATGACCATTTCCCATAAAACTGAGTCAAGTTTGGTTTCCAGCAACATGACTTGGGTGATCTTTAATTCAGTGTAACAAATTGGAGGACAGCGCATGCCCTTTCCTCCCACTATACAAATAGCTTTAGCACTTTAGGGGATATGGTAGAAAGAGAAGTGCCCCGCAGGTGTCTAGAGCCCCTTGGTGGGAGGTGGCAGATACTTCAAAAGCGACAGTGGGATCTGCTGGATGTCCATAGTAGCTGGCTAGGTATATTCTCTAAGAGTTCCCAGAAATTCTCCATTCCTTCTATAGAGTCTAGGGATGGAGACAGATGTATTAGACAAGAGAACATAAGCTGTCGTAATGAACATGGCCTTGTCAAACTGTGACTGGTCTAGGGAATGTGAAGGAGCAGATGTCATTTCTAGGAAGCTTCACTATCTCTGCCCCCAAAATCTGGTGAAATACCCTTTAAAAAAAATTTTTAGTTGTCAATAGACCTTTATTTTGTTTATTTATATGTGGTGCTGAGAATTAAACCCAGTGCCTCACGCATGCTAGGCAAGAGCTCTACCACTGAGCCACAACCCCAGCCCTGAAATACCCTTTAAAAAAAATTTTTTTTTGAGGTGCTGGGAATTGAACCCATAACCTTACACATGCCAGGCAAGTGCTTTACCACTGAGCTACATACATCCCCAACCCAGAATTATACTTTTAATTTCACTCACCGCATTCATTCCCACATACCAAGAATGAATGACCAGGGAAAACGATCTATTATATCCGTAAGATTGTTAGTTAATCCTTTGGAAGTCAGAGGAAACTGAACTAGAGAAGGTAAGTAATTTGCCAAAGTTACTAGGAGAGTCAGCTCCCTTGGACTCCAAATCTGTGCCCTTTTTACTGTTCCATAGTTGCCAGAGTTACGTGCTACCAAATAATCCCAGACACTTAATGAGCTCCTACTTTGTTCATTATGATCTCATTTAGTTTTTTCACAACAATCCAGTGAGTTGAGATTGCTATTAGCCTCCATTGATTTAGAGAGTCAAGTGACTTTATCAAAGTTACAAAGCCTGCAAGAAGAAATATGGCTTGAGCTCAGGTCTTCTGTTGTCAATGGTTTCCATTCATTTATATACAATCGAAAACCAGAAAGTTAAAAGAGTTTGCCCAACACCACACAACCAGCAACCACCGACTAGAATCTGAAATCAAATCACAAAGCTTCCAGTCTGATGCTTTTTCTACCTCCTTAAGTAGTGATGGAGAGACTACAATTTGTACCTATTATCTATGTCTTTACATGGTAAACTATAAAGTACTGGTTAATTTGATGACTACTACTCTAGAGAATAATGTTTTCTCTCATTTGAATATTTATTTTTCATTTGAGCAAATCCTTGAACATGGCTACTAAAGAATAGAGACTCTTTTGGCCTTCACAAATATAACAACAATGACTTCCACTGTGTTCAGTAGACATCAAGTACCTGGGATAGATGCTTAACTCTAAGATATTTTTAGGCCAGAACCTATAAACAAAACTCAAACTATATCAGTTGGCTTAAATTGAGAACAAAGGCAGGTGAAGCCTATAAGAAAAAAAAAAACAGCTTAAAGGAAATAGATACCAAATAGTGAATAAAGGTTAAGAACATTTTTTTCCCACAATATCTTTATTTTATTTTTATGTGGTGCTGAGGATTGAACTCAATGCCTCACATGTGCTAGGCAAGCACTCTACCACTGAGCCACAACCCCAGCCCCAAAGGACAATATTTTTTTTAATAAAGTCAAGGAGAATGTATGTCATGAAACACAATAAGACAACAGATCACATGACCAGAATTTATTAGGATATAGGCAAGTAGAATCAAAACAGGGAAGAGAAGGGTATTGTGTACTAAGGATAGCCAATAGTTGCTAGACTATCAACTAATTAGATGACCTTGCATATGCAAAATCCAGCCAATTTTCAGATAAGGTGTGAGATCTGTCTCAACTAGATTAAACATTGTTTATGTGTAAATAGGCTGATTTCCTCATATGCTCCCTAAACTATATAATGTATTAAGAAATAACCATATTTGAAAGATGACTGATGGCTCTGTTTTCGTCATTTTGAAAACAAGAGATATCAGATTCAGCTTTCACTACTTTCCTTAAAGAGCAAACAACTGACTCCAATCAGATAAACCACCAAAATGCATTTTAAATCCAAAATTGATACAAGGGTCTACAGGAGAGTCTCAACTCTGTTCATGTGTCTCACCTGAAGAATTAAAAATAAATACTGCCACCTAAACCACCAACAGAGACTCTAATTTAAGGAGGGTGAAGGGTAGGGGGAGATGGTAAGCAACTATATTTCAAAAATTCTTCCGTTGTAGGCTGATGTCTGCTCTATAGTTTTCCAATATCAGTCCTGTATAAGTGTATAGTTCTTTAATCAACTGGCCCACTAGAGCATACCAGCTCAACTAAAGAAAAGCCCTAACTCTTGGGAAATTTAGTCATGTCATGCTACAACCCCTGTCAGATAGTAGTGTTATTTATTTATTTTTTTTACTTTAGTTAGATTATCACTGTCTTCTTTCTTAATAAATGTATAACCTCAGAGATAATGAATCACATTTCTAATAAGAAATCATAAAAAGCTGGTGGCAAACCTCTTAACCTTAATGAACATGACAAAACCCTTTTCGTATCTTATTGTTAATTTAAAGTTTTTGCTTTAACAATTCTCTCTGTTAATCCATTGTGCCCCTTTCTTGTGCGTGGTGTGATGGCGCTCAGCATGTCTGCTGTCTTTGTTCTTGTATTCATCTACTCCTTCGTAATGTGGTAATTAATTTTAAGATGAAAGCTAATGCTGGCTGTGAGAGTACTGAGCTATTAATACTGCTGGCTAATGTACCACTAGAAGACCGGGCGCAGTAAAACAGAAAAACAGTTCTTTTTTTTTTTTAAATGTTCTTTCATTGGCTCATTATTACAATTAGGGGAACATTATGCAAAATTTATCTCTTAAGCATAAATCAGAATAGAGATGGAAAAAGTAAAAAAAAAAAAATTCAGATGACAAACCAAGTTTTCAGAGGATAGCAAGTTTAAATTATTATTTTGTCCTGAAAAGAGCAGGAGTTGAGCACTCCAAGCCAGACCCACTGGTGAAGGGCAAGTCTTTGGGGTTCAGTATACCACTGAGGTGACAAGCAAAATAATGTGCAGTTTGTGTTGATGTGCCGTTTTCGGAAGAGATACTCATTACCTTGGCAAAAAGCTTTTCCAGTTCTATTGGAATCCACTGTATTAAAAGAAAATCAGATGAATCTGCAGTATGAATGAACTCAAAGTGCTTTCCCCTACTAATCAGGCCAGACTGGTTATACAGAGATCCTTTAGATCCAAAGCATGAGGGAGGCATCAGCTCTGATCATCAGGATCCTGAGGCCACCAGCCATGTCAATTACAATTGCTCATGGTTGTTGAGACTTACTACATAGCAGGTATGTTATTTGTATTACCTTATTTAATCCCCACAAAATTGTCTTAACTAAGTTAAATGATTATTTACATATACTGCAATGATGGCTTATTATTTACATATAATGCAATGATGGCATATTATAGTATAACAAGATAATATACTAATTTTTGCATAATTTACAGGATCATACAGCTACTAAATGACCAAGTTGGGATTTAATAAGGTATCTGCTTGACTCTAGAATCTTCATGCCAAACTGTGCCAACTTCATGTCATCTGGAAGGATGAAGAGACTCCACGGCAGATAGTCTGGGTCAGGGAAAGGATAGCCACTGTAAGTTTAAAGCTTCAGGAACATAGCATTAATTAGATCTTACTTATAGATGTTTAAAAGTGCTGACCTGTATAAGAACACCAAAAGTACTAAGTTTTGTTGTGAGCTTATATATCATAAAAACAATAAACAATGTCTTAACTCTTATAGACTATGAAAATACTTAGATATGTCCTACAAAATATCCACAAATCTATTTAGTCCTCACAATTTACAGTGACTTTTCCTCACGAAACAGCATTATACACTTTAAAATTAAATTTACTCTTTACTTGTTTAATTATTAACATCAGAAACGTTTATAAACTATTTTAATTTATTTAATTATTAATATCAGAAATGTTTGGAAACTATATCTATTTTAGGTAACTATTTTAACACTGATGGTAATATTGATGACATGTTTTAGAAACATGAAGAGTGAGGCTCATTTGAGGGCATGAGGAAGGGAATAGAGACACACTGAAAAGACTGGCGACAGCTTGCTATTTAAGTTAAGGAGTGTCACAGGAAATTTTAGGCAGAGGACTGACATTATTTTTTATTGGTTTTTGCCTACATTCACATCAGACAGATGATGTGCTGATAACAAAACAAAGCTTGAGAGAAGCACATTTCACAATAACATGAAACCCCTATCATCACACTTAGGAACCACAGAAGGATCTGACATTGTTTTAACGAGGTCCGTAGAAACTTAAAAAGTCAATTTAAAAATACCAGAAATAAGTTGTTTTTAAGTTATATTTTTATGCATCCTTATTTATTTAATCTAATTAATTAAGTAATTTTGGTCCTGGGCATTGAACCCCGAAGCTGTATCCTCACACATCCTCAGCTCTTTTTGCTTTTTATTTTGAGACAGAGTCTCTTAAGTCACTGAGGCAGACCTCGAACTTACAATCTCCTGCCTCAGCTTTCCAAGTCCCTGGGGTTACACGGTGGCATGTGCCACCAAATTACCAAAGATGATGAGGAATACTCAAACCCAGGACCCTTTTTCACTAACTGGTCTCTGCTTCTCTAAAACTATAAAGCTTCATTCTCTCAAACCAGCCCACTCCATGGAATTATAGCTTTGGGTATAATACAATTCAATAGCAAGAATCCAAGCAAGAGACTAGGTAAAAATTTTAAAAATAGTACAAAAAGAGAGTTCAGTTTCTGGTCTGGCATGTAAGGAACTTGGAATCATCAACCCATCCTAACAACAAATTAAGCTGAACATTGAAAAATCCACATGTCCTTTTAGATCTGTCAGAGAAGTGAGGTCACAGGGAAAAAAAATACTGCTCCAAAATTAGAAAGAAAGACAAATTCAGAGAAACACAACTTACTGAAGCAGAAACCCATGAGCAGAAACCTCTGTGGGAACTAGTGCTGGGGTATAAAAACCTAAACTCGAGTTGAACAGTTGCTGGAGGCTCAGTGTGGGTGAGTCTGAGCGTTAAAAACCCCAGGAGGACCCAGTCACGGGGGCAGGTACCCACAGTTCTCTGAGTTTTGCCTCCAGGAGCGCAACCAAGTTCTCATAATGAATACTGAAAAACAAAAAGCATCCCCTCATTCTTCTGACAGGGAGAGGGGAAAGTAGCCATTTGGAATACGCCCAAGCATTCTGTGCTTAACAAGTTCTGCATTTAAGGTCACTGTTTTCCTAGTTCCTAAATTGCTCCCCCTGCCCCAAGAGCCTAAGTAACACAAGGGAAGAGAAGCACCCATGTCTAGCCCACTTATCCATCCCGTCACACCTGGGTCAGGGGGGATGTGGAGAAACACTTGTGAAGCACAGTCTGGAGGCATAAGTTCCATGAAAGACCGAGACCTAACCATAGTTAGGACTACAGAGTATTTCCCTTCCCCCTCACCCTGTACCATATTACCAAAAATAAAAATTCTTTTTGCCCTGTTTATGTTGCGTTATCAAAAAATAATATAACAAATCATGCTAAAAAGCAAAAATCAGAGTCTGAAGATAGAGCAAACGCAAGGACCAGATTTATATGTGGCAGAGAAGTAGGAATTAACTGATGGAATTCAAAACAGCTATTTTGAATTAAGACACTAAGGGT